CTTAAATATATTTTAAAAGGAGATTTTTTAAATCATTGCCATGAATGGAAAAGTAGACTTGTTCTAATACACATTGTAAGAAGCAAATAAATTACTAAAATTAAAAAAAAGATAGTAAAACAACAGTAAAAATACCTCTTACACTATACTTGGATAATCAACATTTACATTTTACTAGAAATCTAGAAATAAAGTATTTAATCTCTTAAAATAGGTAGAAGTTGCTACCTCAGTGACTTTTATATCCACCTAAAACATGGGGTGACCATGGCATATTTCATTATTGGTGTACAGCAAGTTTTATGCCATCATTCAAGACAAGCAGCGGAGAATCATCTGGATAGTTGGTCCCGGGACTGCTCATATTGCTGGGATATGAACTCTGATGGGAATTAGAGGACATTCCTTTCTGTCCACTAACTTTTCAAAGAATTTATTTATTTATTTATTTATTTATTTATTTATTTATTTAGAGTGCACACAGGAATGGGGGGAGGGGCGGAGGGAGAGGAGAAAGAGAATCCCAAGCAGGCTCCATGCTCAGCTCAGCACACACAGAGCCCTATGTGGGGCTTGATCCCACATCCCTGAGATCATGACCTGAGCTGAAATCAACAGTCAGCTGCTTAACTGACTCAGCCATCCAGGAGGCCCTCTGCCCACTATCTTGAGAGCTAAGGAAATCAAGACTTATGAGGAGGATGCTGATCAAACACAGGATAGAACTTGTAACTACATGCAAAAATACCTCTCTGTCAGCAATATAGAAGAGCAAAAAATGGCTTTTAGGCTTAGGTGTTTATAATCTTTCACACTCTTGGGCATTTTTTATTTTTTTTTTTTTGTGGCAGGCTCACTCCTTTTTGCTAATTGCTCTAATAGGTTGGTGATGGCAACTTCATAAATGTTCATTTCAATAAGATTTAGAATGTATGTTTAGCCATTTATTAAAATGCAAGCAACAGCAAAAGGCACTATGTTAAGCACTTAAGGTGGATTATCGCAGTCATCAAAACAACCCTAAGCAGTTGGCATACTATTATCCCTGCACAGGTTAACTGTGTAGTCCAAGGTCACAGAGCTAGTAAGTGATAGAAATGAGATTCAAAGCCAGATCTTTCTGCCTCAAGCTCAGTTTCTTAATCACTAGTTAAGACTGCTGCCTAGTATTCTCTTATATCTTCATAACTAGCAAATAATCTATAATTAGGTATCAGCTCTGCCATCAACCAGCTCTGAAACCTTGGGATTCCTCCTGGTCTTAGCTGATCACTGTTTCCTTTTGCAGCTGAGAAAGCCATACATTAGCAAAGACCTCTAGCTGGAATTTTGATTTACAAATATTATCTAACCTCTTTTTCCCTCTGCCCTGGGAAATAGAGTGAACACATAGTCCTATGCCCATGCTACTGCTCTGAGTGATTCATTAACAGACTGAAATAGTGGAGTTAATCTAAATACAGATTTACTTCTAACTCTTGGCCTTCCAGTTTTTTTTTATATGCATAGACATTTATAATAAAAAGGCTTACCCAAATGGTAGTATTTTTCCACCTTCCAATGACCCCAAAATATGCAATTAGATAATTTTTGGCTTTCTTCTTCAAAATAAAATTGGGATAGATAAAATAGATAGATAGATATTTTTATTTTTCTTAGGCTATCTTACTTCACAGAGGGAGCTACAAATAAATGGGCAAGAAGGAAATAATACAGTGTGACCCATCTATATCGGTTATAGAAAAATATCTATTTTATAAAAATCTATTATAGAAAAAAAAAGCTGAATTAACAAGATTTCCTGGTGCAGTAAACAGAACCAAGCAGAATGAACAATCAGGATTCCTGGGTTAACATCCATCTTCCACTACTGGTGACCTTGAGAAAGTCACCAACCTGAGTCTTATCTTCCTCAGTCAGATCATCCATTGCCAAGATCCCTTCAACTCAAAAATTCTATGACTCGACAAGACAGAAAGTAATAGAAATGCAAATAAAATGTAAATTAAAATCTCATCCTTTGCAATTTAGTGCTTTCAGCCCATCCCATCAACCTGGTGTTAGAACAGACTCACATCATGTGCTGTGCTAAGAGCAATAAAGGACTTTCTGTCATATACTATAAAGCACCCAGACTAACGTATGTGGAAAATTTTATTTCCTTAAAACTGAGAGGGTTGGCAGGGTGACTAAAGCAAGGCATAGAGGTGATCAAATCCCTTTATTGATGTAATAATCCATATCCATATCTCTGAATAACCAGGGCAGCTCTTTTAAAAATAGCCAATGTCATTGTTCAAACAATGTTTGCTAAAAATAGTATTCGAGTCATGGGTTTTTAATTTGTTAGCACAGTGTTCCTAGACATGAATTTCAAATCTACAGAGACTTGAAAGAAATTTAATTAAAGGACTGAAGATAACATTAGTTGCAATAGTATAATAGATACAATGGCTGTAATTCTCAAAACTGTACTGGATGATTCTGAAATAAGATAGCCTTTCAATCATATTCATTACCAACAGTTCTCTAAGAATTGTTAATCATATCATGCTTGGCATGATGTATTAATTTAGCAACACCGTGATAGCTGTGCATATTAATATGAATGATGCCACTTCTATAGATTGCTTTATTAGAAATGAGGACATGTGTATCAATGTCTGTGTTCTCTGGGTTAGTCATTACCTTTTACTATCAAGTTTCCAGTACTGCTAGCAGTTCCAAAATGGTTAGTGGCTATACAGGTATAACTTCCAGCATCTGACTTTGTCACACTGACAATTTTGAGGCTTCCATCTTCAGAAATGGTAATTCTGAAATTAAAACAAATAAACCAAAACGGTAAGTTTAGATCATGTGACTAATTGAAAATGATGTCTGTCATTCTGTCGTCTTTCAAACTATAAATCATGGCTGTATCACCTGACAGTCTCCTCTTTATTCAGGGTATTTGTCTATATACACATAAATATAATTAGGACATATGACTTATTTAGGACTTTTAACACTTTCCTCGCCGAAACGGTCTCAACATTCTGTTGGCATAAATACTGGAAACACTAGACAGGTTGTAACCATTCTCTGTCTTTGGTGGCTCTAACCACATTATTCATAGGGAAGGCTCATTGTTGGTCACCATTAGTCTTAAAACTGCTGAGGTATAAGGAAAAAAAAAATCTCTTGATTGGCCGTTGACACATTTTCACTGAAAATGTTTTCTTTAGGGTGCCTGGGTGGCTCAGTCAGTTAAACGTTCGCCTTCGGCTCAGGTCATGATCCCAGGCTCCCGGGGTTGAGCCCCACATCTGGCTCCCTGCTCAGTGGGGAGCCTGCTTCTCCCTCTGCCTGTGCTCTCTCTCTTTCTCCCTCTCTCTCTCTCTGTCAAATAAATAAATAAAAATCTTTAAAAAAAAAAGAAAATGCTTTCTTCTAGATGGGTGGCTTAAATGAGTTATTCAGTATGTTTATTTCTGACATACGTCAGACAATACATTTTTAATGAGATGCAAGAAGTGAATTAAAAAAAAAATATCCCACAACATGGTATGACTTTGGCAGAACAGCAAGTGTGGCTGGCATATCTCAGGGCCCACAATGAGAGACAAATATCTATTACCTGGGAAGGAGACACTTGTACTGACAGACACAAAATTGGAACAGGGGGGATTCTAGAGAATGCTGATTTCAACATGACTATAGCAGAAGAGGAAGGTGCAGAGATGAGTAGGACAAGCAGCCTGGCTTGGACACCAGCGAGAGAAATAAAAAAATGGACACAGATGGCTCATTTAAGATTACTGTCTGCCGAACCTTTACTCTATCCTTCAAATTTACCCACTTCTTTCTCTCTCTTCTGCTCTCCCCTTCTCACCTGGCCTATCACCGGCCTCTTAAATGATCTGCCTATTTTTACTCTTGTGCCTCAAATACATTCTTTGGTCAGCGGGTGAGATGATCTTTTAAAATATAGATCAGATTACATCACTGCTCAGGCTTAAAGATCCTTCTTTGCACCCCACTGCCCTCAATAAATTCTGTTCTAGAACCTACAAGGCCTGATGGATCTGGCCTTCGCCTTTCTCTTGCCTACTTGATTTCATGCTCATCTTTTTACCTTTCAATGAACTATCGTTACGCTGGCCTTCTGCAAGTCCCTACAGTGTTTGGGACCCTTTCCCACCTCAGGGCCTTTCTATCTGCCATTCTGCCTGCCCTGCCATCAGGACGTAGCTACCATCTTCTCACCCTCTCAGGACCTCACCTTAGAGGTGGCGCTTTTCTTATGACTCATATTTCTGAAGTGGATGTTTTATTTTGTTACTCTCTTTTCTTGCAGCCACTCTATTTTTTTCCCCATCAAACACAACCTAAAAGTTTTGCTTACTTGTTAGCTATCTTACTTACCACCTGGCATGTGAGTTTTTCTGAGGGCATAGACCATGTTCATCTTATGACTTAGTCTCCAGGAACTAGTACCTAGGATGACACGCAGTAGTAGATGCCTTGTACGTATCTGCTAAGTGACTGAGTGAATAAGTAAATAAATAAATATCCTAAGAGAAAAATCAATAATATGTTTCAGGAATTCAGAGTGGTTAAACCACTGAGCACTAGTGATGTCCTTAACAGAGTCTTTGACAAATATTTGAAACAAGGGGTCTAGGCTGGTCACAGCTTCACTGTGACATGAGTCTTCACATGAGAACTCAGTAAGGAAGGTGACATTTGTGTTTTGTATATGGAGTCATTTTCCATGAGATAACATAGGTTTGGGCATATTAAACACTGAGAGGTGAGCTGATTCTTTCAAAGCACAAAGGCCTATTAATAGTTTGTACCATTTAAAGTGGTATTGTAATTTCCAAAACCTAAAGTCATTGCCTGTATCATATTGTTTAATGCCAACAGGATATGAATAAGGAAACAAGTAAAGGGTTTGTCATCAGATGACCTGGTATTAGCCTTGACTCTGATACTTGCTAAGTGTATGACCTGGCGTCATTACTTATGCCCTAAGGCAGGGCTTCTCAGCCTCGGCACTACTGACTTTTCGGACCATATAATTCTTTGTCCTGTGAGGGTACTTAGCAGCATCTCTGTCCCCTATGCACTGGACTCCATTCGCTCTGCCTCTCTTCCCAAGTTGTGACAATCAAAAATATCTCCAAATATGGCCAAATGTTCCCCAGGGACAAAATCATCCCCAGCAGAGAGCTACTGGTCTACATCAGTTTTTATTCTTTTAATCTCACTGGTTACTGTGATGCTTATCTTCTACAATGGGGTAAGATACGTGAAAGGTTCTCTTAATTGTAAAGCCCTGTATAAATGCTTTTTCATTTCCCACTGTCATTCCCATCCCTGCATCCTTAATGATGGTATATGCATTGCACAAAAGGCACCCAACATATTGTTGCTATCCAGCTGTGGGATCCAGCTAGCTCTACACAATCTCTCTCAAGGCTCTCTTTGCCCCTTACCCTCAAAGCTTCCTTATCCAATTTCCTTTAAGCTTTGTGAAATGACAAGGTAATTTTACAAACTGCTGTACTACTGATTTTTAAGATTTCCGTGCCTGACATTGGTTTTAATCTTCCCATTTTTTTTTTTTTAACAAAGAGATAAGAGCTAGGCCTCCAAGGCTTAAATTCCAGACATTGGAAAAGGTGAGCGAGGGAGATACTCTGTAGAAGGGGTCAATTTTAGAGCTGTCATTAAATTACATTATATTGCTCTAATTGTTTATTTTTCCTAGGTATAATCCAAATGTGGGTATAATATGGAGTTTTGTGAAATTCAACCAATTTCTTATGCAAGCAATATAACGTACTGATTAAGAACATAAACTCTGGGGGTGCCTGGGTGGCTCAGTTGGTTGGGCGTCCAACTCTTGGTTTCAGCTCAGGTCATGATCTCAGGGTCGTGGAATCAAGTCCCATGTTGGGCTCCGCCCTGGACGTGAAGTCTGCTTAAGACTCTCCCTCTCTGTCTGCCCCTCTCCCTGCTTGCGTGCTCTCTCTCTAAAATAAATAAATGAATCTTAAAAAACAAACAAACCATAAACTCTAGAACTATACTATCGAGGCACAAATCAGACTCATGCCGCTTATGAGCTGTGAGACTAAAATCTCTGTATGTAAATTTCCTTATTTGAGATAATGGAATAATAAAAGTAACTATATCTCACAAGGTGTTGTAAAGATGTGCACTGCTGAGACCAGTGCCTGGCACATGAAATGCATGATATAAGTGCATTAGCCAAATATTCTATTAACTAAAGTTCTGTACCCTCCTAAATACATTATTTCATATATTAATAAAAGACTCTGTTAAGGTTAAGACTACTACCAAGTAGTTCTGCCCTTCTGAAATCCTATAACACATTATTATGCTTAATGAAGCATATGGGTAACATCAAGTAGTTACAGAAGGGGGATGAAAAGTTGGACTCATTTATTCATAAATATCTACTAAACACCTCTTGTACACTAAGCCTATATAAACCAGGAGGACCTTAGATAATTACATACCTAGAAATGATGTCAGTGTGTTATATACCATAATGCATACATTTCTATAAATGCATACTAGAAAGGGCATTACTTTTGCCAGTGGCGTATCTGTTTACCATGCTATTCGTAGACTAAAGAAAGGCAAGGACCAAGGCCTGGCCAATCAGGAGATCCTACTCCCCTGTCTGAAGTGATTGGTTTAGGGATAGGCATGCTATCAAAACCAGGAGCTATTTGAGGAAACAATCTCTTTCTATTTATTATTACATTTGGAGATGGAAATCTAGAACTATTAGCAGTCATCTTACCTGCCATAGAAAGCATGCCTTAAAGAAACCAACCAAAGACAAGCAGAGCCCAGGAGACAGAGAGAGAGGAGAGAACTTAAGATCTCTTTGAGATCTTGTTTCTGTCCATGGCTAAGCCAACAGCTTCCTTTGGATGTCCCAGTTATATAAGGCAATAATTTAAGACATTAGAAATTTGTTTTTAATCCCTTGTAATTGGAAGAGCCCAATATCTTAGGGAAATTACTGAACTTGTTCAGGATATAGTGGTAGTGAAAGTGGAGAGGAGAGATGAGTTCTCCAGATCATTCTTTTTTTTTTTTTTTTAAGATTTCTTATTTATTTTTTTGACAGCGAGACAGCGAGAGAGGGAACACAAGCAGGGAGAGTGGGAGAAGGAGAAGCAGTCTTCCCGCCGAGCAGAGAGCCCTACTGAGCCACCCAGGTGCCCCTCCAGATCGTTCTTTGATGGCTACCTCTACAGAACTTGTTGCCAAAAGACTGATTAACTCAATTATAGAAGAATGACCATGGATTTCTGAGTCTGAAAAAAATTGACCTGATCTTCCTTTACACACAGCTGTGCCATATACTTTTGGCTATCTATTTCTATAGATAAAGGGCTAAGTTACAATGACTTGTTGGTTTGAATTTATGGGATTTTTATAAGTGGGGAATTAGTATAAAGTTAGCATTTATCCTTGGGGTGCTAATTTCCACTAACTCAAGAAACTTTTGAAACGTAACTCAAGAAACTTTTGAAACGTAACTCAACACTAGTATTTAGATATTTGCTTCCTTTTAGTTGGATTCTATCCCAACTTAGAAAAAGGTTTTCAATTAATATTTCTTTTTTTTTTAAAGATTTTTTTTTAACTTATTTATTTGACAGAGAGATAGCGCAATTAGGCAGAGCGGCAGGCAGAGGGAAAGGGAGAAGCAGGCTCTCTGCTGAGCAGGGAGCCCGATGTGGGGCTCGATTCCAGGACCCTGGGATCATGACTTGAGCCAAAGGCAGCCGCTTAACTGACTGAGCCACCAAGGTGCCCCTCAATTAATATTTCTACATTCATTTTTTCCCATGAAAATAGTGACTGAATCCAATCCAAGGATAGTTGTATTTTCACATTTGTTTCTTGAGGAGACTTCAAAGTTTCCACTTCATTGTAGTTTTCCCATTTCAGACTACTGACTGACCCGTAGCTATTAGCTTGATATTGAACTTTGAGCTCCTTCTAATACTCATGAATAGTGATCAAGTTAGATAAAAGGAACTGAAAATGTAAATCTGTTCCTGGCTTAGAATAGGTTAGCCCTGACCTACCTGTAGGCTCTTTTTAAATCACTGATAGTATCAGAGAAAAGTAAAAAATGATAAAGCAGCAAATAGTAAAAATAAAGGTGTGACATAGGACTTAATTTTCTCTACATGAAAAAAAGGTCATCTAATTCACAACATAGTAAATTGCCCGTTGCATAGAGAACAGTCATTCCTCCACTTCATTTAGAGATTTCAGATCCACAGAGGATAGGAACCTATCTGGAATTATGAGATAAATTGAATCTTTCTTTCTTAATATGAGGCTCTGGGTTATAGCCATTGAAGAGCTGACCTTGTCAGTCCTATTAATCAAAACCAGTCTGGGGACACTGGACCTTTAAAAATGCTGATCTTTCCTTTTTGGGGGCTTCAGTAACAGATCACAAAAGCTGCCAAGTCCAGAATATTCTATCACCCTAAAGACAGGGGTTATCCCCAAATGGTGACCTATGATTCTGTGAGCAGTTTTGCATGGAAGCTCAACTAGTGGTGACAGAAGTAGTGGATCCTCACCTGTCTGGAAATGCTTTCCTTATAAGTAAAACCCTTGAAAGTGCAACTTAGAAGATTAGTTCTCCCCTTCTGCAAAGGGGAGTACTATGGATTAATAATTTCTTTTCAACAAAGAAACAATGGAAGTTTCAAACTGTTAACTTTTAAATCATCTTTAATAGTGTTAGATGAGGGACATCATAAATCACTTAAAATCATGCATAATTAAAAAAATCCTGAAGGGTCATAACAGGCTTCTCCTTCCTCTTATACATGAGGAGTTCCAGAAAACATGTCTGCCATTTAAAAAAATTTTTTTTAAAGATTTTATTTATTTATCAGAGAGAGAGAGAAAGCACACAAGCAGGGGGAGTGGCAGGCAGAGGGAGAAGCAGACTCCCTGCTGAGCAGGGAGCCCGATGTGGGACTCGATCCCAGGACCCTGGGATCATGACCTGAGCCGAAGGCAGACACTTAACCTACTGAACCACCCAGGCATCCTATGTTTGCCATTTAAAAGCCTGATCATGGGAGCAGAGACTTACACATTACAAAAGAGTTTAACACCCTGGAGGGCTAAAATATATTCTAAAACTTCAGACATGGTTAATATGAGTATTGCTACTTCTCAACTTGAGCAAACTAGCAGCATGGTAGAGGTGTCATAGGACCCCTGACCCCAGGGGCCACCCAGCCCTGATTATAAAATCAGAGGAAGGACTGCCTAGCTACAGATGTGTATGCTTCACTCTGCACTGAGTTGCCTTTTAATCCAAATAATTGGGAGATTTCATGTAAAAACCCATTCCTGGCTAGTTGTGACAAATGGGACAACAGGATAGTACCATAACACATCCCTGTAGGGCACCAATGAGCTGGAGGGGAGAAGTATTAGCTCCTTAAGGCAGCCAGTAGACCGTCTAGTGCTTACCCTGGCTTCAAGAGCTCATCAATGTCTCTACCCTATTCCTGTGGGCTTTTGAGATCATTTTCGATTGCTTTAAACCATTACTCTGGGCTGAGTAAATGGAACAGGGCTTTTGGGTAGCCTTTAGTCTGTAGGCCACATTTTCCTCCTTCTTGGATTCTCCCCATCCCAGAAATACCTCACCAAGAGACCAAAGCAATGGAGTAGGAGGGGGAATAGGGCATTATAGTAGTTTTCTAGGGCTCCCATAGCAAGGTGTGACAAACTGGGGGGCTTAAAACAGCAAGAACATATTATCCAGTAGTTCTGGAGACTAGAAGTCTGAAATCGAGGTGCTAGAAGAATTGGTTCCTTAAGAGTCTCAGAGGGAGAATCCTTCTTTGCCTTTCTCCTACCTGCAGGTAACAGTCATTGGTCCTTGGCATTCCTTGGTTTAGATATGCATCTCTTGCATTTTTGTCTCTATCATCACATGGTGTTCTTTTTTTTTTTTTTTTTTAAAGATTTTTATTTATTTATTTGAGAGAGAGAGACTGAGAGAGAGAGCACATGAGAGGGGGGAGGGTCGGGAGGGTCAGAGGGAGAAGCAGACTCCCTGCCGAGCAGGGAGCCCGATGCGGGACTCGATCCAGGGACTCCAGGATCATGACCTGAGCCGAAGGCAGTCGCTTAACCAACTGAGCCACCCAGGCGCCCCACATGGTGTTCTTCCTATGTGTCTCTCCACATCTTCTTCCCTCTGTGCACGTGTCTTTATCCAAATTTCCCTCTCCTTACAAGGATACCAGGAACTGGATTAGGACCTGGTTGAATCTAGTT